AGCATAAGTTAAAAATTGAATATCTATCGATAAATGAAAACATCTATCGATAGATTATGTTTAAATTTTTTGACAGTGGTTATTTATCTATTGATAGATAATTTATTAATAGATAGATTGGTTTTTAGATAATGTTTTTACTTTTAATTTTTATAAGTTTAAAGAGAAAATAAATATTTAGTAATTTTATATATTTAAATATTTAAATAATTAATATAAAAATATTATGTTATTTTTTAATGTTATTATTTATTATTTTAATTACTTAAGGTTGAAAAGTAAAATTTTATATTAAAAATTATAAATTTATTCAACTTATATGTTTTTAATACATAAGGGTAATTTTGTCAATTTACATTACATTCTCAATAAAATATTTATAAACCAAACACTACAGTATAATCCTCTCAGTAATCATATTTCTTACGATCATCACTTTTTCTTATTATACCAAATACTGTAAAATTATATTCTCAGCAATCACATATCTACCAATTACATTCTTAATAATCACATTCTCAACAATATACCAAACGTAATCTAAAAGGCATGCTGTCTCTGCTCAGAAATTCCATTTACAGGAAATATTTCTTCGGGCTGTTGCCAAACATTGTTGAGGAGGTTCTCTGAAGATTTTATTCAATTTTGTGCCATTATTGTAATTTGAAAACAAACCAATTTTTCTGGTGAAGTCTCCAGTGGATTCTAACGGTAGCTCATCCTCAGATCCATGTCCATACCTCTTTAAACATTAATTAATTGTAAAAGAAAATTATAAGGAACTGATCAATGTATAATTTTAAGAATAAAAAGGAAAGACAAGATTTCTGGCCTCGTAAGGCACCACAATAAAGAAGGTTTTACATGACTAGTTTCTCTTCTCAAACAAAATATCTTTTTGCTCTTTCTTATTGCAAACAAGTAACATGTCTGGAAGATCCATATACAAAGCATAACAGGATAAATATAATCATAGTGCAGAAATCAGATAAAGGGTTATTGTTGATAGATTTTTTATAAATAGAAGAAGGAACCAAGCACGGTATACCTGGCTATTAAAAGAGGAAAAATGTTGCCGGAGGGAGCTAATCTTGTTGCCGATGGAAGGAATCGAAGGTGAAGAAAAGAATGGTAAAGAAGGGACTTGGAGACTTAGGGCAGGAAGCTTCTTCAGCTGGGAGGAAATTATCTTGCGTCGCTCGACGGCCTTGGACAATTTACGGCGTCGACAAATCTTTTTTCCATTGATCTGTAAAACTTTTTACAAGTAAAACTATTTTTCAAATTACCAAACATCATTGAGCTCTGAAAATGTTTTCAAAAAAACATTTTCAATCAATACAAACGGACCCTTAGTTGCAATATTTTTCTTCTTATTATCAACAATCCATTTGCAGCTAGTAAATATTGTACGTTAGAACTCGGAATATGAGAATTAGCTTCTTATGTTTTCCACAAAGCTAACGTGCAAAGCTGCAGCTTGTAAGCAAAGACACCAATCACTTCAAATTACCGGGGCTAGCAACTAATTCCTTGGTGTGAGAAAAACACAAAAGCTTGACTTGTCAAATTTAACTTTCCTATATGATAGAATTATATTGTTATCATCCAAGTGAAGATTGAAGAAATTGCTCCTAATATAAAATTTCCAACTTGGTTGGCTTGATTAGACACACATTAGACATCCGTTGCTTCTATTTTTATTTTTTTTATAATTAAAAAAAAGAGAATTTAAATCTTATATTTAAAAAAAAAAAATCATACGATAACCAATGATAATGCGCCAACAATACTAACGCGTGTTTTGTAAATTTCCGAAGCTTTCCGCTTGGTACTTATTCTAAAGATGGGACTGGAAGAGTTGTTTGGGTGTGAAACATCAATCCAATCTTTGATTCACAGCTAGCATTTCCCTCTTGACAGCGAGGACATTTGATCAGGACAGCGTTAGATAAAGATTAAAGAATAGCAAACTAGCAGTCTACGATTCCCAGGAAGAGTCAGATATTACACATTTCTTCGCCGGCATGGGGCCATTAAACATCTATTTAGGTAGTGTGATTAAGCGTCCCCCCAAATTGAAATGTTCTGCCAATGAATTGACAGTTTGATGATTCTATTGCATGATGAGTGGCCTGATCTGTTAGTGAGACCAATAAACAACAAACGCAACCTTACCCCAAGAAAGGCCGATCACACTGTTCATCAGATATTTTGTACAGGAGGGCCTAATTGTTAACACCGAAAGTTCCGAGTTTGCACAGGGACTGTGCTGTTTGGAAAGTCTCTCTCTCAGTAGGCAACCAGTCTGGTGACAGAGTGGTCCACCTGAATTTACTACTACTTCATAATTAGATTGACGTCATCGTCCTTGGATGAGATTGCTCTGTTACCTGAGGGAAATGAAACCACGAATATCGCGGTATGGTCCTCTATGTCGTTTTGCCACTGTATGAAGACTTGATCAGGTATTATAAATTAATGAAACGGGGACCTTGGGACAAGGCCAAAATAAACCTAGTTAAGTTTGCTGTTTACATCAACATTCTCTTCTTCGTCTTCTTCTTCTGTCTGAAACAAAAAGGGTGAGGGCATCCATCTATAATTATTATTAATCTGCAATTATTTAACTGCTACTGTTTTGAAAAACTAATGTGAATTAATATGTACAGGTAAAACCCCCGGGATGCCAAAGTCAAACTCACACCACTATTTCTCCTGGAAAACTGAATTGAAAACTACAATATTTGGCCACTTAAATCCGAACCACCAAGACGACACTATTCCTCCGGGGCGGTTGACTGCTTGCGTCAAATGTTTTCAAGGCTTTGCGTAGCAATGATCAAGGGTGCATGGTTTGTATACTTCAAAAAAGTAAAATCTCCTTCTACACTCAACCTAACCAAGAGAAGCTGCCCACCTAGAGGTAGAAGTTAGAGATGACTAGATGAACTGATCCCAGCAAATGCATGCCTGATACTATAACAGTAGTGTAGCATAGTAGTAGGGCCGCTGATCAGAAATGCGGATGTGGTCATGTAAAGAAGACTGCATAATTTCCGCTGCCTTGCCTTTGTCCTTGTACTTGCATTTCTACGTAACATTGTCAACAAATGCAACTGGTTCATCATTGGTGCATTCTGATGTCTCGTCCACAGTGTTTATTTAATATGTAAAATCAGAATTCATTTGACAGGACAATGACTGAAATTGTTGTCTGAATTTCGACTTAGAACTTGATATTATCACCTCTGACATGATGTGATCAGCAAAATAAAACTTTTTGTAAAAAATCTTTTAAGTTTTGAGCTAATGTACCAAGAATTGCTAATTAGTCAGTGGGAGGATGATTGATGATGAATCTTACTCGGAATGCGCTTCGCGGAATCTTTTTCAGTCAAAAAAAGCAGTCGTGTTAGGAAAATGGGTGGTGTGGTATCGATTCCTATTTACCAAACAACCACAACCTTTTGAAATTTGAGAGAATGGTGAGGGGATTTATCAGTCTTAATCACAAACATGAGCATTGTTTTTCAACAAGTAGTTGCCCTTGGGACCCTTGCTTTAAGAGCAATTTGTCAAAACGCACGTGCTTGGAAATTCCTTGCTTGCGTAGCTGTACTTCCATTCCATAATTTATTCTGGTATTGTTCTTCGCTTAGAAGAATAATAAAGACCAATACGTATAAATTACCAGGAGATAATCACTCCCTAAAGATACTTAGGAATCAATTGTTACATCATGTGCAAGTGGGAAGAAATTCTAGAAGGCCAGAACAATGAAAAAAGAGAGGGGAAGAAAAGGAAAGCCCTTCAATCCATGGTTGTTTTTGCTTAATGCTTACTAAGTTGCTTTTTGAAGACAGTAGGTGTAGTAATGTCACCTGCATCAAAAGCAAATTTTCTCATGTATGGTGACAACTGACAGATGCAGAGATCCCACCTCCACATATCATTCAAACTTGCCTTTTTACATTTCAAACTTCAATGTTCAAACTCTCTGGATTCCAGACTCCAGATGCAGACAAAGACCCCTCCCCAGGAGTCTCTTTTCTGAAGGATTATGATCATAAAACAAAATCTATGGCTTTTTAGCCCCATATATCTCTTTCAATCAACCATAGAGTAGACCTTTGACACTGGGTTCTTCCCCTTTGTCATTATGCCTTTTCTTTTCCTGGTAGGATTTTATTGCAATAATGCTTCTGGTTCTATTATTCCTATTCGAGTGTAGCCAGCAACAAACATTTTATTTCCCATTTGTTTTTATATGGCAAGGATGGAAGCAGAAATTTCCTTCTTTCTTATTTGCTTAAAATGATGAGTTCACGAGAAGTGATGACAGAGGAAACCATCACATTTGTAATTACTAGATCTAGTATTTTGTTGTGATTACCAATATTTCACATTACAGAATATATTGGCTTTTAGGAAACCACTTAACCCATTCTAGCATTCTATCTAACTTTCAAAAAAAAGAAAAAGGTATTCTATCTTCCTCAAACATTCTCAAACTTCATCTTACCTGTAATAATCCAAGTCCCCACAATGTGACATTCCATCATTATACATCACGTGAATACTAATCATGTCCATCACAACTCAGGAGCTTTGAAGCCTTATTAATTAACTTTCAACTAATCCTTTTCTCTAATCTCTTCAATAATGTTTGGGCAAACATTATCCAATTTTCCACTTTCTCTTACAGTGAGGAGAATCCAGCTCATTGTCTGTGTTCTCTCTGACACTGATCACTTAACGCACTCTGTAATGTCAACAGTATGAGTAATAGTTATTGTTTCCAAAAGCACTGTCTTTACTGACTCAATTGACTGCAAAATTTCCCATCGTTGAATCATTTGTCAAAGTTTCAGACAACTTTTTAGACTAGAAAATGTGTCCACAATTTTAATTTGCACGATCCTAATCATAATATGTCTCATCCAATCCAAGAAAGGAGTCAAGGACCCACTTCCCCCCCACCCTAACCCCAGTCCCGGGGCTCTTCTCTCTTCAAAAATCCAACACTTGCAGCAACCTCAAACGTTACCCTCTCAAAACCCAGAAAACTACGAACCCAAGTGGACAGAAAGTGAGTTAAGTGAAAGCAAAAGTCTTAACTCCCCCTCTTGGCTCTTACTTGGCCTCAAGAACCCAAAACCCAACACCGTAATAAAAGAACCAAAGCAGAAATGAACCCAGAATTGCAGACAATGTTTCTGGTTTTCTTGCTTCTGTTTCTGAATCCTCTGCTTCATGCTTCTGCTCTAAACCAGGAAGGTCTGTACCTCCAGCGAGTCAAGCAAAGCCTTTCCGACCCAACCAATGCCCTCTCCTCCTGGAACGACCGAGACGACACGCCATGCAATTGGCGCGGCATTTCCTGCGACTCGGTAACGGGACGAGTCAATTCGGTGAACCTTTCTGATTTCCAACTAGCCGGACCTTTCCCAGTTTTCCTTTGCCGCCTTCCTTCTATTAGCTCCATATCTCTCGTCAACAACTTCATCAACTCATCCCTGCCCGCGGATCTCTCCACCTGTCAAAATCTAACGACCCTCAATCTCTCACAGAACCTCATTGTGGGGTCTCTCCCGAACTCCCTCGCGGAAATTCCGACACTGAAAAATCTAATTCTCTTCGGAAATAACTTCTCAGGTGAAATTCCCGCGAGTTTTGGACGATTCCAACGGCTCGAGCTGTTGAGTTTGGCGGGAAATCTCCTCAACGGAACGATTTCTCCTTTCCTGGGAAACATTTCGACTCTCAAAGAACTCGACCTCGCTTATAACCCGTTTTTGCCGAGTCATATACCAAGCGAACTCGGTAACCTAACGAATCTCGAGCAGCTCTTTCTCGCCGGTTGTAACCTCGTGGGTCAGATTCCGCCACGTTTCAGTCGTTTGAGTGGGCTTATAAAACTTGATTTGTCCTTCAACCGGCTCACTGGGTCAATCCCCAGTTCGATTTCCGAGTTGAAGAAAATTGAGCAACTTGAGTTATATAACAACTCTTTATCCGGTGAGTTGCCTTTAACTATGGGGAATTTAACTACATTGAAGCGATTCGATGCGTCCATGAACGAGTTAACAGGGACAATTCCGACCGGGTTATGCGGGTTACAGCTTGAGTCATTGAATCTTTTTGATAACAGGCTTGAAGGGACTTTACCAGAGAGCATAACTCGGTCAAAAGACTTGCGCGAGCTGAAATTGTTCAACAACAAACTCAGTGGGCGTTTGCCGAGTCAACTCGGTGCAAACTCGCCATTGCAAAGTCTGGATTTGTCTTACAATCAATTTTCTGGTGAAATCCCGGAGAATCTGTGTGCAAAGGGGCAATTAGAGGATCTGGTTTTGATTTACAACTCATTTTCGGGTAAAATCCCGGAAAGTCTAGGCAAATGCTGGAGCTTGGGCCGGGTTCGGTTCAAGCACAACCGTTTCTCGGGCCGGGTCCCAGACGGGTTCTGGGGACTACCCAGAGTATTCTTGCTTGAACTTGCTGAAAATTCCTTTAGTGGGCAAATTTCAAAGACGATCTCAAGTGCTCATAACCTCTCAATTCTCTCAATTTCCAACAACCCGTTTTCCGGGTCGTTAGCTGATGAAATCGGGTCATTGGTGACACTGGTAGAAATATCTGCTAGTGGAAACGGGTTCACGGGTCGGATTCCAGGATCTTTTGTGAAATTAAGGCAGTTGGTTAGGCTTGATCTTAGTGACAATGAGCTTGATGGAGGGATCCCGGAAGGAATTAAGGGATGGACGAATTTGAATGAGCTAAATTTGGGTAACAATAGACTATCTGGTAGTATTCCTAGTGATATTGGCAGCTTGCCTGTGCTTAATTATCTTGATCTTTCCAGTAACTCATTTTCTGGGAAAATCCCAATTGAGTTGCAGAATTTAAAGCTCAATGTGCTTAATTTGTCGAATAATCGACTTTCAGGAGAGCTCCCTCCTATTTATGCTAAGGACATGTACAGGAATAGCTTTGTGGGGAATCCCGGACTATGTGGTGATTTGGAGGGTCTTTGTCCAACGATTGGTAAATCTAAGAACCAGGGTTACATGTGGATCCTCAGATGCATCTTTGTACTTGCTGGCTTGGTTTTTGTTGTAGGAGTCGTTTGGTTCTACATGAAGTACCGGAGTTTCAAAAAGAACAAGAAAGGAGCTACCATATCGAAGTGGAGATCGTTTCATAAGCTTGGGTTTAGTGAATTTGAGATTGCTGATTGCCTCAAGGAAGAGAATGTGATAGGAAGTGGAGCTTCTGGCAAAGTTTACAAAGTTGTGCTTAGAAATGGTGAAGCAGTGGCAGTGAAGAAACTCAGTGGAGGTGTTAAGAAAGGGGATTCTTTGAGTGCTGATACAGAGAGAGATGAGTTTGAAAGTGAAGTTGAAACACTGGGAAAGATTAGACACAAGAATATTGTGAGACTGTGGTGTTGTTGCAATGCTGGAGATAGCAAACTTTTAGTTTACGAGTATATGCCGAATGGGAGCTTGGGGGATTTGTTGCACAGTAGCAAGGGGGGCTTGTTAGATTGGCCCACTAGGTATAAGATTGCTTTAGATGCAGCTGAGGGATTGTCCTATTTGCATCATGACTGTGTTCCTCCAATTGTTCATCGGGATGTGAAATCAAACAATATATTGTTAGATGGAGAATTTGGTGCCAGAGTTGCAGATTTTGGAGTTGCTAAGATCGTTAAAAGAGTTGGGAAAGGTGCAGAATCAATGTCTGCGATTGCGGGTTCGTATGGTTACATTGCACCAGGTTTGTTACTTCTTGATACTTGTTCATTAAATTACTTCCAAATTTAATTTCCCCTCTTCATTTTGCATGTTCAGTACTTCTGTTGTTTTATTTGATATCTTGTGATCTGTTCATCAAATCAGTGGTGCCAGCTACTCCTTTAAATCAGTGGCTTCAAGATTCTTTTCTAAATCTTAATTTTGGAGTTTAAATCCACTGCCTATGTGACTGTTGCTTCATCACAACTCTCCGTTTACGTTTAGATAAGTGATTGCATCGGCTTACTAACATGAACTTTGTTAGACATTATAATCCTCCTATAATTAAGAGTCACTAGGAATCCTTCCTGCAAAATCTTTTTTACCGCTTATTCTTCAATTTGTTCATTTTGTCTTCATTTCAATGCAGAATATGCCTATACCCTAAGAGTGAATGAGAAGAGTGATATCTACAGTTTTGGGGTTGTCATCTTAGAGCTGGTTACTGGGAAACCCCCAACTGATCCAGCGTTTGGGGAGAAAGATGTGGTAAAATGGGTCTGTGCTACCTGCGACCAAAAGGGTGTGGATCAAGTAATCGACCCGAGACTGGACTCTAAGTACAACGAAGAAATTTGCAGGGTACTCGATATTGGTCTCCTCTGCACTAACGCTCTTCCCATCAACCGCCCTTCAATGAGGAAGGTGGTGAAATTGTTGCAAGAGGCTGGAGGGGAGAACAAGGCCAAAGCTGGTAAGGATGGAAAGCTCTCCCCATATTTTTACAACGAGGAAGCCTCTGATCAAGGTAGTGTAGTATAATTCTATCAGTTGAAACTGGAGAATCCCTCTGAAATCCAACTTGCTCACGCGTGGTAGGTTTCCTGGGGGAAAGGAAATGGTACAGTAGCACGAGAGGGCAATAAAAATTGACAGTGCCCCACTGCGAGAAGTATACCAAGGAGTTAGAAGACCACAGAGTAAGACATTGGACAGTGTCGAGTGTCTGGAATTCTGATTGGTGTTTCTTCTCTGGTTAGGTAATGGTAACAAGGCAAAAATGAAGAATGCAAAACATTTATTTCCATAAGCAAGTAAGCAACCGCTGTAGCACAATTGTACAAATAGTTTGTCAAAATTTTGAAAAAGATCCCAATCTAGAGTGTGCTCATTCTCCTTTTTATTTATTTATAATTTTTATACCTATGCCATGAATTAAAAAAAAAATCAGAGTAAAGCTCTGGCTGCCACTTGAATGAAGATCGCTAGCTGTATTGCCGCCCTTCATAAGTGAATTGGGCCCTTTGTCTCTTCTTCATGGCAGCAAACATGTGGCTCACAAGAAAATGATAGGATGCCTTGTCAAATTGAATGTAGCTGTTTTTAATGAGCAATGGACCCAAGCTCCATCTTCAGTCTTGACTGCTTGGGGTAGTTTGCTCTGGGGTGGATAGCAACACTGCTTGAACTTCTGGTTTTTGTAGGTAGACTTCCAACTGTTGAAGCAAAATGAAAGAGCCCTGAAAGTCAATAGGACATTGATAAAATTCTATATTGTTGTATGGTTTAACAGCTCCTTACCTAATTCTCACCCTTCACCCACTTGACCTATTTTTTATTTTTCTTTGTTCGCTTTAATCGTTCACACACACAAAAAAAAAAAGCAAATTATATATGAACATCAAATTGATGAATATAAGGTTTTATTGAGTAATTAGTTAATAAAGAGTTGAAAAGTATTAATTTCTGGATGAAGGTTTACATTGGTGTTTTAACACTTATATTACCTACTTTGCACGATTGGTATTTGTATAATCAAAGATACTTATGAACGAGATATATACACATATATAGTAACTTTTCAATTTTCTCTTAATAGAACAACCTCCTCATATATAATTCCAATTCATTGGGATAAACTTTTAAAATAAAAACTATATTCTTTTATCAAATATCATCAACAAATTCAAAATAAAAATGATTTAATTATTTTTTCTAAATTTTATTTACAAATCATTAAGTAATAAAACATGAAAAGATTGGAACGAATATGATGGTTTTTGTTCCTACTAATTTAGCCAAATTTGGTGGTCAATAGAATATCAAAAGTATTTTCAGTATGGAATTAATTTGTTTTCTGTTCTTTTTTTTTTTAAGTTTATTTCTAAATCATTACTTATAGTATAAAAAATACTTGAAATCAATATGATAATATCTTATAGCTTTCTCTTTCCTATCATTTATGCAGACAAAAAGAAATTAATGAGCTATTCACAAAATCTTTTTATTTCAAATCAAATGATCGCATTTCCAAAATTCATCAGCAAAACCCCAAAATTAAACTATATGTTTATAAAGCTCACAATACATCATTTTCAACCTTTATTGTTGGCATTTAAAGTGCAGAAATTAAGCTTAGGAGTTCAACACGTAACACTTTTTTTATTCAAAAAATATAAATACTTAATCTATATTTCAAAATCCTAGCTTTTGTATAATTTCATACAAACTTTGCGTCGAAAATAAGATAAAAAAAAATTGGAGATAAATAACAATTTTATTGATTAGATGTGTTAGAAATTTTTAAAATAAATAAGATAATCCTTTGTTTTTTTCCTTAACATTCACTTTTAAGGGTTTTGATGACTTGACCTTGAATTAAAGTTCTTCCAAATTTCTTCACTTTTTCAGAATTTCTTCAAATTCATAATTTCCAACATTTATTGTTGGCATTTAATGTCTAGAAGTTAAGCTTAGGTGTTCAACATTTAACACTTTTTTATTTAAAAAATATTCATATTGAATTTATTGTTCAAAACCTAGTTTTTGTATAATTATACACCCAAATTTCGTATTGAAAATAAGACAAGAAAGTTTTGCGATAGATAACACTTTAATTGATTAGATGTGCAAGTACAATCTCTGAAAATTCATTAAAATAGAAGAATAATTTGTTGATTCGTTTCTTCAACACATATCCGCTTCACGAGTTTTGATTACTGATTTCTGAATAAGATCAAATGCATTTCTTGAATATAAACTTTTTTCAAGTTTAGTGAAGGGTTTTATATTTGATACAATCACAGTGTATAGCTTCTATACACTGTCAAGCTACAAAATATATCACTCATAATGGAGATAAATCAAATCATTTAAGAACTTAAAACTAATATTAAAAGTTTTTACCATTTATGAGGTACCATGTTTAAATTCTCATCTCCTTGCTAATCTCAAAAATTTTACAGATCTTCCGCTCCTTTCTCAAATCTTGAGGGCTCTTATTTTTCTTCTTTCGGTTTAAGGTGTCTTTTTTTTTTTTTTTTGGGTTTAAGTGTAAAGGAGAAGAGTAATTTCTCGTTAAACACTAATCCACCCTTTCCCTCTAACTTTCTCTTGTCCTTTTAAGATCGAAGATTTATTCAAGTTCAACTTTATTTATATATGTGATTGATTAAGATTTGAATCAATAGTGAAATTTCAATTTAGAGTGTAAGATTTGAGATGAGAGTCTTCATCTATATTCTTGTTATAATTCAATAGCTATTTCAGGATTATAATGGGCATTACTTTTTTATATGTTTTATAAATGAAAGAAATCTCATGGATTGATTTACAACATATTGATTCCTTAAAACATGAGACATGTAAGATTTTCATATTGATTAGTTCCTATTGTAGTGGGCATAGTTAGGCATATTAGAAAGGTGAAACTTTTAATTATTGTTGCTCTTGAAATTGCATAATTTTATCAAAATAATCTTAATGGAAGAAGAAGAGGAGAAGAGAAGTGAGTTGAGAGAGATTAAAAAAAAAACAAGAACAGTTGAGAGGAAGTTGGAGAGAGAGAAAAAAGATTTTTTAAAAAAAATTATTACATTTAGTTTTAAGTCTTGATGAAATTTAATTTTACCTCATTAATTAGGTGTCATATTTTGATGATATGATAATATATCATAGCATTAAATATAAATCTTTAATGAAATTTTGAATCTTCAAAATCTTCTTCCTCTGAATTTTTAATTTTCTTTTAGAACTTGACTTGTTAGGTGTGAAACTTCAGAGATTTTCTTTGGAAACTGTAGGTTAAACTTTGGAAGAGGTTTTTTGTTTTTCAAGTCTTCCTAATTTTCCTTCCTGAGTTATACTTTATTCTTCAGGATGTTCTTCTTTTCCAGTTGTGTCAAATGACCCGAAGGAGTACTGCACTTGTAGTGTCATGAGATAAGAGAATTCAATGAGAATTTAGTCTCTTATCTCTAAATAATTTTGATTTAATTAAAAATAAAGTATGATGACACATAGATGAATTTCAAAAACTTTATAAATATTACTTAAAGAAAATCTTTACAGAAATTTTTAATACGATGACAATTCATTGTATCAATTATTGGACCTAAATGCAACCATAATTAATAATAATAATAAAAACAGGCTAGCCCGTCGTGTAAAGATAATATAATGTAATAATGTTAGTAGGTTTTAGACAAGACATCTCATCAAAAAATAATAATAATTATAAAGATGTTCCTTTGGTATGAAAATAGAGAGAGATGAGCAACGCTCTTATGTTTTCTTCAACTTATGGTTAATCGAATAGCAATACCACCTACAATGTTCACTTTTGATGTCAACACAACCATCATATCTTAACAATGTGTCTTTTTTTTCTTCACTTGAAATGGTTTCCTCTCGTTAAAATAATTTTGATAGTAATACTAATATTAAAAATTTTTTATAGTGGTGCACTTAGTTAACTGTACGTATGCAGTTAATTTATACTTAGATATATATATTTGATCTAATAATAAAGTGTATGTATTTTTTATTTGTAAAATTAAAATTCCGACTTTTTTGGGAAATAATTGTATTTAAGATCCCCACCCCTCTCAAAGGAGAAGAAGAAGAACAAGAAGAGAAGGACTGCAGCTAGCATAAATAAACTATAAGCAAAGAGTTCTTATTAAGTATGCAAGGGTCCTCAAGATATAATTAAAAATATCTAGCTACAGCAGGTGAAGCTCATCTCAGAATGCTTGTGGGACTACAACATGATGTTAATTGAAGAGAAAAAGTCATCCCCACCAGCTTCTTTAAATGTATCAAGGATGGGGTATGTATATGTGGGTTGTCTCGTTCTCAAAGTTCAATTAATTATTAGTTTAATGGACACTCTCCACTCCTTATTTAGCTATACTACTTGATTAGTTGTACAGTATAGTTTGGTCTTACACTTGAATCTGATGTCTCCAGAAATTAAGCTTGGGGGAGTCGGCAATGGCATGCTTCATTAATCACAAAAAGGAGTCCTGCTGCAGGGGTCTGGCTATATATGCCTGGAAAGCTAAGCTATGGGACTGCCTTGCCCTTGTAGGCTGGTGTGGTTGTGAATGAAACGGATCCAAAAAGAAAACAGTATCTTTCTTTTGAATGTAAGATGATCATCTTTTATTAAGAAGGAAAGAAAAAAAAAATTGTGAGGGGAATAATTAAAAACATTGGCCATGGGTCCTACTGATATTCTCTAACTGGTTTCATGTCATGATCCACGTTTTGGTGAAGTGTACGGACTTGGATTAAATCCTGTATTCCTCGTTTGTAATCATCACACTCTTCATATTGCACGTAAGTCTCTTTTCTTTTTGTTTAATTATGGTGAAGACTGACGATGAGTAATTCATTTAATTTCAAGGTGAAAGAGAGTTTTAAAGGTTCGGATATTCCTACTCTGGAGGAAGCAAGCAACCTTTGAGAGCTGAGAGAGATTGGCTGCAATTTAATTTCCTAATCTAAATTAAGGGTGACATCTAATTATTTTTCCATTACCAAATTGAGAAGATTGCATTCCGTAAAAGAAATAAGGTTTCTTTGAATTGTATGCATATCATGATTTCTATCTGGAATTTAAACCTTTATTTCCTTGTGGGTTCAAAGATGGCACACTCTGACATTGCCACGTGGACATTTGGGGGGTGGGAGGAGAGAGAGGTTTCTTGCTTTGCATGAGAAGTCTAACTGAAGAAATAGAGTTGTGGGTGGCTATTGATTTTTGTCCTTTTCTTTCTTTTTTTTTTTTTTTGCATTTTATATAGTATTATATATATAAGTATATATTAGTATGTAAATTTTAGCTTTATGAATACTCCAGGGTGACATTGGACCAGAAATGTTTCTCTTTCTTTCTCTTTCTCTCTTGGGTGGTGAAATAGCTCCCAATAAATCAGATTGCCCCATCTCCACTCAACCCTTAGTACCTTTGAATATTATTCTTTCTCTTAAATTTTAGCCTTCTTTAAATTAACTAGCTATTTTAACAAACCAAAGCAGCCTTTTAAACAGAGGTGAAAAACAAAAGAGACATAAAAACTACATTTATTGGCATACAAGTTTCCATGCCGATCCATAAGCAAAAACCAAACTTAAGATCCAAGCAATCCTTTTTGGGCTTTCAATAGAACTCACTACTATACTTGTCAAAAGAGAATTTTATTAGTCTCTTTAGATTTTTTTTTTAGGTAGCTCTCTTTGCTTTGAGTAAGGACATTTAGGAGAACCAGATTAATGCAAAAGAATTGTACTAAAAAGTGAAGGAGAATTTAATTCCCTCCCCAACCCTCAAGATAAACAGCCTTCAGAGCACCAAAGCTTTAGAGGAGACAACAAGCTAACTTTTCTTCCTTCTTTTTTTTTTCCTTCCCCTTTTTAACTCTCTCTCTCTCTCTCTTTGTGATCTCTTCCTTCTCATAGTTTTGTTTATTTTGGGGAGTAGCAGGGGAGGAAACAAGAAAGGAAAAGATCCCAGTGTGGGATGGGAATAAGAGGAAGCCAAAGAAAATGACTTGGTGCAATGACTGCAGCGATGTGCAAACGATTGAGAGAAGCTCTCCTCCATCTTCTCATAAAACGGTTATTGCTGAAAGGCAGAAAGTTTGCCTAGTTAGAACCTGTCCCTCATGTGGTCATCAGATCAAATGCCGAGAGCAGGTCATTTGTTTATCATGATTGTATTCTCATCTTCTTTTATATGTTATGGTTTTGATAGTGATTGTTCAACGTGGTTTACTTGTATTTGTTACACCTACAAATTAAAAATGTTATGTTATAGGCGGGAATTCATGATTTGCCTGGGTTGCCTGCTGGAGTGAAGTTTGATCCAACAGATCAAGAGCTTCTTGAACATTTGGAAGGGAAGGTGCGGTCTGATGCTCGTAAACTTCATCCTCTAATAGATGAATTTATCCCTACTATTGAAGGAGAGAACGGAATTTGCTATACTCATCCAGAGAAGTTACCAGGTGATAATTTTATTTTATTTTTCTAAGGATTCTACTCCAGGATCTATATATATACACTTGCCAATCAAACATGAACAAACAAAGAAAGAAGGGAAAGTCGACATATGTCATTATAAGGTTTTGCAGTTTTGGCAACTAGTATGTATTATTAAGGAGAGGGTGAGGCAAGCACATGCATAGCAGTTTTGAACAAGAGAGAAAAACAGAAGGTATTAATTAAGCTCAGTCAGTTTCTCATATAGATTTGTGATTATTGATTAATGAATAGTATTATTGTGATGAGTCTGTGCATATGAAGCTAATCCAATGCTTCATATTAGAAATAGTTAAATTAGTTTTTGATATTAAGATGAAGACTTTTCATTTTATTAATTTGGGAAGTGAGTCCAGTCCTAAAGAAACCATATATATATATATATATATATATATATATATATATCAGAATCTGGTGTTTTCATCATGAGGAGCCAAATAGAAAGATAAAAAAGTATACACAATTTTTCGAAGTCTTTAAATTATTAAGAAGAGCTGGATCGGAAACATGCTCATTTCATTTGGTGGAATGGTTAACCAATCTCCTTGCTCGAAGAAACCTGCCAGCTAACCTTAGTGCGTTGCATTTTCCCCGTAAACTAGAAATGAAGAAACCTTCCAACTAACCCTAGTAGCCTTCCCCATGAGAAATGAAGAAAAACACTCCAACTTACATTTGTCAATAATATGACAGCAGCATGGTGCCCTTCACGTTAACAAATAAACTGTTCGAATAAGAAGTGAATGGTTTGTCATTTTTATAATCCATTTTCATCCTGTATAGGAGTTAGCAAAGATGGCCTAGTTCGCCACTTCTTTCACCGACCCTCCAAGGCATACACCACCGGAACTAGAAAAAGAAGAAAGGTTCACACTGACACGGAAGGCGGCGAGACCCGGTGGCACAAGACAGGCAAGACCAGGCCAGTTTTTATTAGTGGAAAAGTTAAGGGTTACAAAAAGATACTGGTGCTTTACACCAACTACGGGAAGCAAAGGAAACCCGAGAAAACTAATTGGGTGATGCACCAGTACCACCTTGGCAACAATGAAGAAGAGAAAGATGGTGAGCTAGTTGTTTCAAAAGTTTTCTACCAAACACAGCCTAGACAATGTGGCTCGGTAAAGGACTCCCTGCCCTCAAAATTAAAGGTGCAGAGTGGACATGAGGGTCCTCATCACCTTAAGAATAATGGGCTTGTTGAGTTGTATAATCCTTCTTATATTTCCTTTGATCAAGGTGGCCAAACCAGAGGCAACCCTAGCCAGCTACTTCCCCATTTTGCAGTCCATGATGGGTCTTTCATTCCTTAAGAAAGTTACAAGGATCCACGGGAAGGAAAGGAGATAGTCTACTTAGTGAAAGGACTGTGGAGGCAACATCAAAAATAAGCACTGGTGAAATAAGCAAGAAATTAATTATTTACTTATGGCTTTTAGCGAAGCCAAAAATGGCGGGGGAGAATAAGGAATGCTTTGTAGCTAGCGGAAGAGCAGAAGAAACATTCTTCAGCATGGTTAATTTTCTTTCCCTTCCTCCTTTGAAGGGATGCTTTGTACAGTGTAAGCAGCAGGGTGTAAATGTGCCACATGGTTCATCCAACTTTAATCTTGTACAAGTTAACTATGGAAACTGTACAAAGGGTGATTCTTACCACAAGTAGCTTCTTTTATTCAACACTTTGTCCTTTCAAATGTAACGACAATCTTCAAATAAGAGTATATATTTTACTGTTAAAATTGTATTTTAATCTAATTAATCACTCCATCCATATGTACATGCTCTATATATGCTGTATATCATTGTTTATCTTATATTTTATCTATCCCTCTTTATACATATACATACATACATATATATAGTAGTCCTATTAATTAAGAGAGGGAAATCATTTAAGTTTAATTTCTCAACCGGTTAAAAGTTGAGGTCTGATTATTGTAGCGCAAAACACTCTCTTCTTGTTAATAAGAGGAAGAAAAAAAATGTCTGGATCAGAGTTCTTTGTATGTTTGTTAGGACCTGTTGGATCTAGTTCAAGCTTCTGTAAAAAATGCTATCATCAAAGTAAAGTTATCCTTAGAGTGCTACAAAACTTAGAAATTAAATATAAAAATGTTGCAAGATGTAGAATACTATTTGATAATATTTAAATTTATTATAAATAAACAAATAAAAGAGACAATTGTAATCCTGAATTATAGAACTTTCATTTTTGTTATTATAATTAGTAAGTAACTATACATAGTGTTTAAACATCTGAAGTAAGCAAGTTACTTGTCTTGAAAGTTAGTTGAGAAAAGAAAAAGGAAAAAGAAGGAAGTTCCTTGTCTTGAAAGTTTAAGTAAGCTACTGGAGTTGAAACTTCAATGTCAGTGTAGGGGTGAGGCTGTAACACCTTTAGCCATTAAGGCAATCTACCAACCAAACAGCTTGAATTTAGGTCACTTAATTTGAGATTATGCATTAATTTGAGCTTGGTCGGAATGTCATTAATCAACTCATGATCCCAATCATTTAATATGATTAGAGTTATTAATTTATTTTGAGCTTAGAGAATAGTATCACTTATAGCAGCTCAAATAAGTTTGTTTTTTATTACATCTGTTAATTCCTCCTAGAATTAAATAGTAGTACTAAATTAATACCATGTTTGCCTCTGCACGAGCTATAAAACTCGGATTCTAAAGCACTTGCAATCATTGAGCTTACTCTAAGCATATTCTTTATGTTCAATAATGTCTGTACCTTCTCTTCGCTCTTTTGGTTCCTGGCTTCTAGTAAAGCAACCTTACCTTACATATTATATCTTCTTTCCTTTCATTTTGACAAGCTAATATTTCTACACGCAATATCCTAACTGGCTGTTGTGCAACTTCACACCTTTTATATACTTCCTGAAACAGTTGTCTCAGAGAGGTACTGCTGCAACAGTTTGGTTCTCACTTGGACCAGTATATGGGCTTCTCTCTTCAACAATTCATGCATTTCACTCAACAATCTCATTTTAAGATTCAAATCTGATGATTTGTTATCACGGCTCTCTGTCTTGGATTCAGCAGCCTGTGTATGGTTAACAGCAACAAGTACCACACGACATGTAGTCCTTAAAATGCAAAATGAAAAATGAAAAAACAGAAAGAAAGGTCACCGTCCAACTCCAAACTCAAATTGGTTAAACATTGCTCAGCAGACGCAAGCTTTGCAACTTTGTTCTTGATTTCTTCCAGTCCTCAGAAACCATGGTGAGTGGTGTACATTAAAAAGTAAACCACAACGATTGACTAAGTATGCATTCAACAGTGCGTTTGCATATTGAATTCCTGCATGTATATGCATGCAAGAGAGGCAGATGCACCACCATTGCTTCCAAACTGCTCGAGAATTCTATTATAAAGGCATTTATGCTTTCACCAACTGTAGCTGCTTTCTGCAGGCCGGCTTTGGCATCCCTATAGCAGCAACATCACTTGTGTCTTCCCATTCATTTGCTTCCATCTGAGCAGATAGAGTTTTTTCCATGAGCAGCAGCAAATTTTTCTTCAGCTGCTTTACTCCTATACCTGACAACAGCAATTTCTTCATTGACATTGTCATTATCTGCATTTCTCTTAGTCAATAGCCCTTCATGTTTTCTTTTCCATTCCAAGGATTCCTGCCTCAGAGACTCCATAGTTTGAAATAAACAAGAACACCTCTCCTCCAACAAGCTACACTTGCTCTTTAAATTAGATATACGGTTCTTATAGGATCAGAAAGCTTCGTCATGTCATCAATAGCATCCTCATAATGCTTTTAATGTTCACTTTTTAACTTCTCACATGCCTCCAAATGCTTGTCAGGCATTTTCGTTTTGTCTTCAATTGAAGGGCAATTCAGCAAAAGGGTTTTCTTCTCTGATAAAACATGATCTATTTGCTTCTTGGTTTGGTTGAGTAGGGCATCCTGCAAACTGGGTTTCAACAGACACAGGCATCAGTTATAAATTATAACAGGCATTTTTAGTGGTTGTTTCATTCAGTAGAATATCTTGGCCTCTATTACTGTATTACAGCCTTCACAAACTATATTAAGTGAGTTTCGTTTATTATACAGCTTGGCCTATAGTTTAGCCTTTAAAAACTTCATAATTTAATATACATAAAAAAAAATATGTAACATTCATACTTTTTAACTTGTTTGACCAAAGACGGTTAATTGATTCTGTCAAGGAGAAAATGATGACGGCTGATGTTTTATGCATTTGCAAGTGCCTAGTATTTTACTAGTCCATGTGACATCTAAATGGCTAAGTAATACATAATAGAGATGGATGATATGGGGTTCAATAACATAGTCAGAGAAAATATGGGTTTAAATGATATATTACCCTAATAAACCATCTTATCCCATCAGGTTTGTCAATCCTGCGTATGGCAGTCCAACTGCCTTAATAGGGTAACAGGCCAGATTTTTACATTTGATCTAAGCTAATAAAGATATGGTAAATTTGAACAAACCTCTTTTTCAAGAAGCAGGATAACATCTGCCGTTTTGTTGGACCATGAATAGATGCTTTATATTCAGATAGCAGACAACCAACAACCTCTGCAGCAAAAATTTTACACAGACACAGAAATAGTGATTGATGATGATAATGCCCATTGAAATATTCATCTAGAGAGAAACAAACTGGCTTATTGATAAAGAATACCTCGATCATCAGATCACATGAAAGTTCTTATCCTACGTATATGAAAAATAATAGTAGGAAAATGTTTTCACAATAGGCTGAACAAGAATGCTGGCTCTATCCAGAGAATATTACATTGATAAGTAGCAGTCAGAAGAAACAAGATCTCTATTCATTTGTCACTATCAACTCCAAAACCATTGAGGTAGTGTTAGGTTGCCATGAGCAAAATGGTATTGAATGGTTATGGAGCTTAACCACAGAGAAAGACAAGTAGCAAGAGCTGGAAATTCATTTTACAGGGGTGAATGGGTGTAAGATTCCAGTATGTAGGACATGAAATGATACCTAGTTGATCACTCCTATACCTCACGACCTATAGACAAAATTACACCAAAATTTTGGTTCACTAATATTACAAAGCCTAAACATGAGCATCATCATCAACTTTTGGTGAAGCAACAATCAGTATAAAAAATTAACAAAATGAAAGAAACCAGGTTTTTAGAAGAATAAAGAACACAGATATTTAAAATATTTTATCCTGATGACAAAATAAAAATGTTTGCAACCTGGCAGGCTGCTCTCAATTTCTTTTCGATGTTTTGTACAGTACTCAAGCATCTTAAATCAGCCTCCATAAATGCATTTCTTCTGTAGTCCCGCATCCATTGCTCAATTTAAGAAATAATATCAAACTAACATATTACATGAAATGCAATAGCAAAGGTAGAAAATTACCATGATGTCCAACATCCAATTAAAGAAAAAATTGCAAAAATGCAAATAACCTCATTTGTACTCTTAGAGATCCTAAAAATTTCTTAAGTTGGTTAACTGATAACCTCAAATGCCTTTGTGAAGATATTATGAAGCCTTTCATATTTCTGTCTTGTCAAACTAGCACCAACCGCACTAACATTAAATGCAACAAATGATTTCCAAACTTCCTCGTCATGTGCTTATCTTAAGGAACCTAAACTTACCAGACTAAATTTAATAATAGGAATGGCAGATGATCATAATATGAATTGGACCCCTTTTTTTCTTTTGGCCATTGAAAATGCACCTTGTTAAACACCCCAAAAGACACCTACCTCTTCAGCAGGCTTTGTGCGGTCAAAAGCAGACACATAAACTTCTTAAGCTGTATCATACACCCTTAGACACAGTAATTCTTTTACACTCTGCAAAGAATGAAAAGTGCAAGTGATTAAAACGAGTTTTCTTGACTAAAATGGTGCAGGCTTGATCACATGAACATTCAGCAGCCAGAAACCCAAAGGAAAAGCAGCTACTAAAAGTTAAGAGTGCAAGAATCACAAGATTAATCATTAACTTTCCAGAAACTAAGAATGATTATATTCGCTTGCACCCAGTTATCACAACTTAAGTTGCATCAATATCACCAACTTTACTTCAAAACCCACTTTTGTTGCCTAGCCATCCATGCATATTTACAATATATTTTCGAGATCAAATATAAAATGTAAACTGTTTGTTTCAGACTTTCAGGAAATGGATGAAACAAAAGAGAACCCAATAGTTTAATGCCTTCTAGTTGGATGCTCCTAAATAATTCCTACTTAATTCTTACTGCTGTATGCTTGAACACAACTTTCCTAAACTAGCCCCTTGCCCCAAAGGCCCAAAACTTGCACACCAGTAATGCTACTTGACCACTGATAAGGATTTGGTACTTTTATGCACTATAATTAGTCAACATCATTTGTCCTGTCTTGTCAAGAGTGGAAACACATGAAGCAGTCTATGATTATTCATGGCTTCCTTCATCATCTCTTAGCAGGATACTAGTCCAAATCACAGGCCTTTTACAGGTTTATGTCTGTTGAGCTGAGAGTTACATCAAAGAGATAAAATCTAATGAAATCTAACCCAAAAATTTCAGTTTATTTTTTTTTCCCGGTAAATAATATTTCACTACAAATGCATTTCAGCATTCTTAAAAATTCCCAGTTGTAGGGAAAGTCAACACTATGTTATCACTAAGAGTACCATAGATGGAAAACAAATAGAGACATGGAAAGTCCAGGCAAGGTTGCCAACCTGCCACA